CCCAAACCCAAACCCAAACCCAAACCCAAACCCAAACCCAAACCCAAACCCAAACCCAACCCCAAACCCAAACCCAAACCCGTTCTCGTAGTTTTTGATTAACAGAATAATTTAATAAAATAGCACTGACTTTTAACAAAAAAATCTATTCCAAAAACGGATACTTCTGAAATAATTTCCAATAAAAATAATAATAAAAGAAATCAAAATCATAACAAATATTCAAATAAATTATCATGTTATCATCATGATTGTATGATTGTTAGGAATCAGTTATATTTGAAAAAAATGATTTAAGGAAAGTATAAAAATCTCAGCAAATAGACAAAATTTCCATAATCAAATTCTTGGGCACCAGCAATTATTACTAGAAGTTATATTTGAAAAAATTTTTATTCAATTAACTGGTTTTAAATAGAGAGAAAAGTGATTTCAAAAATTATATTATAAAAGTATTTATACTATCAAATGAATTTAATATAATCCTCAATACATTTTTGGTAAAAAAGAATTAATTACAAATCCAAAATAGATAGATTTTATTGATTATATTTTCACTCATAACTTACATCAAAAGTAGAACCATGGATTAAATCTTGAGCGCTGAAAAAGACTCTAAAAAGCATACAATTCGATGGAAATGGATAAACCGAAGCTGACTGCCTAAACTCCTAATAACCTAATAAATATGCAAGATAATCCATACTTAAATTGATAAATATTCTTGAGAAATATCATACCTTTTAGATTATTTGATAAAATATCTTGAGCAAGTAAATTTTGCTAATCATTTTTATTCAATTAAATTTAGGATAATCAACAAAAATAATTTGGGTTTAGAGATTTAGTAGAAATAGAAAAATTCCATCATTTTGATATATATCGAAAAAATGGATGGAGAAAATAAAATGGAAATAAAAACAGCAACTCAACTTGAAAAAAAATTAAAGAATATATAAAGACAAATTCTAAAATATCATGTAAAAATGGGAAGGAATGAATATAAATAAATGAATACTAACAAAATAAGAAAGATAAGGTTAGTTAGACTAATGGAGATATGATGCAAAGAACATGATAAATAATTCTTTTTATAAGACCATGTAAATGAAAATTTAGCTTAATACAGATAAGGAATGAAATGGGGTAGATTCTATGAAATTATTTAATAAAAAAAAAGCAAAAAACAAGAAAGATGAAATGAATTATCTTTTAGACAAAATTTAGATCTATGATAAAAGAATATGGAATATTTAAAAATAAACCAGAAACAACAATCAGAATAATGATAAAATATTTTTGTTTTATTAAACATTAAACATTTGATTTTAAGTATATGGAGATCTAAATTAAGAATAAATTGTTAAAGAAAACTAGCAAGTGCTTGAAAATTAAAAAAATAATTATAGAAAGAGTAAAAGGAAAGTATTTTATTAGAGGAATTATAGAGTAAAAGGAAAGTTTTTATTAGATGCATTCACTAAAGAGAATGAAAATAATTAGAATTTATAAATAAAGAACTGAAAACTGAATTTCAATTTGTTTTAGATTAAATATAATAGAATAAGATAGGTAACATAAAGAAATTAGATTAAAGCAAGATTTATATAGTCTAATAAACATTAGAGAATGAATTAATTAATGAAATTAATAGTTTAATGAAGATCTAGCAAAAATATATCCAAAATATAAATTTAGACAGTTAACACTTTTTAAAGTTGAAAATTGAATGATTATTGTTTATGGACAATTAAATTTAACATTAGAAAATCTGTTCACAAAATTTGAGAATAATTATTAACTTATTTAAAAAAAAATGCTTATCATAAAATAAGAGAATAGATTAGTGAGTTATTGACTAATGCATTAAATGAAATAGAAATACAATTTAAATACTTAGACTCTTTCACTAAATTTCTATTGAATAAATTTACAAATGCTTAATATTTATATATCCTAGATTTTAATAATTATTTTCTATGAATCTAAATAAATTTATTGAATTACTTAATAATTCGAAAATCTATCTAATAATAGTTTATTATTTAATGGAACTTCCTCGTATTATTTTATTTTAGAAACAAGATCAATTTTCAATTATTTAGAATTATTAATTTAGACATCTTTACCTTTTATTAAAAATTACCAATAAATTCTTTTGTTGTACCTCCAAAAACTTTAATTATACTTAAATCTATCTAAAACCCATCCATAAGTTCTAACCTTTATTGATAATACTATAATACAATTCAATATGTCATTCGGTATATCTTCTTCCTTTTGAAGTGTCTTAAAATAGAAGGATTAAAAGCTTCTTTATTATGAATTTATTATTAAATTACATCAAACTAATCAGTATACTCTCTAGTTTTTTAACGATGAGAGAACTTCTATTAAATATCTTTGGAAAAAGGAAACTTTTTATCTCCAAAATATGGCATTTTCAATGAGATCTTCTTAAGTTCTTTTATTGATATATCAATAAGATATTTATACATAATATTATCTACAAATATCTTAATCAATTTCTAAATAAAAGAGTTTTAAATGAATTAAAATTTCTATCTCTCTGACAATGATTCCATAAACTGTAACTAATATGCTTGCTTCTATTATTGGGATATCCAGATATTAATACACCTCTTAAAAGTTTCTGAGTTTTGTTCAATTCTGCAGAAATATATTAATTTGCTTAATTATCATTCACCCAATAAAATTAAAAGTGATCCTCTACTGCTGTAACTTTATAACTGAACATATTAGGAAGGGATAATATTATTTTTCTTATCTTATAGTAGAGGGTAAATCGTTGCACTATTCTAGAAAATATCTATTAAGAATGTATTAGGATTCTAAGTTTTTGCAATTGTTCACAATCTTGTAAGATTTTCAAATAAATCATCTCTGCTTTTTATTAATAATCAATCAATTCATTGGTGTTCATTCATTTAATATTTTTAAATTTTCAATAAATTTAAATTATCATTAATATTAAGACAAGCATTATTGCATTATTTTATCCCAATATAAAATATCAATACATCCTCAATCTAATTAGTCGCTTCCTCTTTCTATTCCTAATTTGAAAATTAATCCCCTAATAAATATTAATTGGCTACTAAAATTCCAATATCATTGTCCAAAACTCTTCCACTATAACTATTTTTTGATAATTTAGACACCTAGAGAGCTTAAGATATATTTCTATTAATAAATAAAGACTTTGAATATATTTTACAAGTGATTATAGTTATCTTAATTTCTATATCATTTTAACAATGTCTAAAAACTACTTTATTAAAATTTAATATGTTAATATAAGCATAATACTATTTGTTGAATCTAAAATACTAAGAACAATAATAAATACATCTATTTTTTTCTTCAATACAATAGCACATTTGTTTTTATGATTAACAATGGTTTGTTCTAATTAATTGATCAATTGAAGATTAATAAGAAAGTTTTTAAAAAATCAAAGAATTAGGATTGAGAATCTCATAAATTATTATTGTAATTTCTTAAAGAATTGAATGAAATAGAGGTGCTATTTAAATAAATTGATTATACATAATAGCATGATTGTTATTATTTTAATCTCTTTACTATATACCTATATTATTCAGTTATGAAATTATATATCTAAATCTATACATATAAATCATCATCATCACCATTTTCACATAATACCACTATATATGACAACGATTTTGAGATTGTTATTTTTACACTTCATGCATTATAATTTATTATGTAGCTAATTACATTAAGATCTATTCAAAATTAGGTTGATTTATTTATAAATTTTGTATTAACTTCTATTCTTTTTAATCCAACCATTTGAAATTTAAGTTTGATGTTACTTTTAAGCAGCACAATTACTTGATTTGCGAATAAATGAGAATTGATTTTTATTAAGTTATAAAGGATAGGACACGATTAGATTACCTTCATAAACTTAATTATGTTTGTAGATTTTGGTTTTGCTGATATTGTAGATAACAAAAAATAATATATCAGAAAATGTGGAACAATTAATTATATGTCACCAGAATTACTAATATCTGAAAAATATATTCAGGCAAGTCTCCTTAAAAAATCTGATATATTTGCTTTAGCTACTCTAATCTTTATACTATATTATGGATTTCCTCCATTCTCTTAGGCATCTTAAGACTGTCTTTATTGGAAAATGATATCTGGATAAAAATGGAATTAATTTTGGAAACTTGTTAATAGAAATACTAAATATAATATATTTTAAGAATTATTTTAAAATATGATATACTTTATTTCATTAATTTATTATATTCTATTCTATATCACTTTATCACCTAATCTTGTAAATAGATATAATATTGAATAAGTACTCAATCATCCCTAGATTGATGGAAATCACGATCTAAACTAATTAGTTAACTTTATTTGATTTTATATACATTTTTAAGATACTATGATCGATCATTATTTATTATATTACTTTTATTTTTGTAGAAATCTTAGTTTAATATGATAATCTATAATTTTAAAACTACTACTTGCATATATTTAATAATAAAAAGAGTTTAAGCAGTTTGGAATATAGACCTTATAATCTCTGTGAATATAATATAATTAATGATATGAAAATATATTTAGATAATAATAGCTGTAAAGTATTATAGATTAAATTATTTAAAATTTGTTTTTTAAGAATTTCTTAAAATAATTGAATTTTGATTTCTATCATAGCATAAAATGTATCTAAAATCATTTTAAATAATTTGAACAAAGTATGAAATTATAATATATCATTAATATTCTAGATTTAAATCTACCATTAATATAGATTGCCATCCTATTGCAAATTCTTTCAGCTTCATCTATTGTGTGAATAGTTAAAAAACAAAACTTTATCGGAATTGGACTCCTTATTGTATTGCATTCCTTAAAATTTTCAGGCAACTCTGAATTTCATCTCTTCTTTCTCTATATATATAATTAATTTATTGGGAGAAAATTAGCTTTTATCATACTGATATACTCTATTTAATATAAAAAAATATCGCTTAATTCTTTTAGAATATGATGGAAGTCGATTCAATAATCTTATCTCATTCTTCTTTTTAATTTTTAAATTAATGAATTATACAAGATTCCCCATGTTTTTTTAATGTCATTTAAGATCCCTATACTTTATTTATTACGTAACTCATCTTCACCTAATATTCCAGACCTTTTTTAGTTTTATTTGGATCATCCATTAAGATTAATTCTTTAATGTTAAACCCTTTCTCTATTAATGTCATATTTTTGAAAAAGTTTTATTATCTTCTTCTTTTATATTGATCTTGTATATATTATGACAACTTAATTGCGTTTTTTATTAATTTTCAATGGCATAAGCTTTCGATTAATTCTTTATAAAATAAAACTATATTAACATAAAATTTTTGATCAATAAATTTAAAATTAAAATCCTTGTCTTATTTTTACACATCATAATATTTTTATTAATAGCTAATAATAATTTTATATTATTGATGTTACAGAAACAAACATCACAATTCTTATTTCTGAATACTTTCTAATCTAAATTTCAAATGATCCTTATTTTCCTCCATCCCAAGTGATTAAATACTCTCCATCATCACTTAAACATCCCTGTATATAATAATCATTAAACTAAATTGACTAATCTAAAATAAAATCTTCATTTTCTTATTTTGATAAAATATTCACTGTTTTGCCATTCTTATTCACAAGTGTATTTTTCTCTTTTACATATTTTTAAGGGAAAAATCCATAACATGATGTTGAATTATTTTTTATATAAATATTCTTTATCTTTCGAAAAATTTAAGAAGCATTATATTTCTAATATAGACTCAAATATTCTTTGCAATACTTTTAAAAAGTGAAGAGTGAATCATTTACCCAGCATAATCTAAAACCATCTCCCTCAAATTTTTATATTTAAACCCACTTCTTATTCTGATTATTATCTTTTATGAATTGAAATATGATTATTAATTTATCATATCCAGATGAAAGAAGTTAGTTGCCATTTTCATTGATACTCAACGCCCAAACAAAATCTTTATGGTCATTCATAGTTTATATGCATGACCAACCATTCTAAAGTTTCCAAATTTAAATATTACTGCTTCCAGAGATAATTCAGTCTTCTCTTTCATTCAAAATAACACTTAATATTTAACTATCCTTTCCTTTTTATTTATTTAAATATTTTTTAGAATTTCCATTAATCAAGGTCCAAAGAATCATCTATTTATCTTCACTTCCAGATATCATATTGCTTGGCTTTCTGAAAAAGTTTATTGTAATGACATCTAAAGTGTGGGATTTGTAGGTTTAATGTAATTTCAGTATTTACTATGAAAATTAGCAGATCTTTAATTAGTTTTTACAACCAACAACCACAATATGATTATCAGAGCAAATGCCAATTGCTCCACACCATTAATACTATTTCATTGCAAATCTATAAATCAATTCATACTTGCTTGACTTTTTGGGTTATTAAGTTGTATTTACATTTATATATTATTTTAACATTATTTTATGATCGAATCAATTACTAAAAGTCTTTAAATAATTTGAAGTTAAAACTATTGAGAAAAAGAATGAAAAAAAATATCATAGATAAATTGGCTTTATATTCCACTCATATAAAGCTTCCAAAAAAACTTAGAAATGATTAACTTTAATTTGAACTAGAATAGAAGGCTAATGTTGTTAAATTTATAGCAAATGAATTTGAATCATTGAAAATCTAAATAATTTCAAAAATTTAGAGCAAAAATATACCAATCAAAAATAGATAACCCATTTTTCGAAATTGAGAAATTAACTATTGTTAAGGGTAAGCTTCAATGGGAGGAATATACTCTATCAAAAACTCTTAATAAAAAAACATCGAATAGATGTAGATTAAGCATATACTGGATTTTAAGCAATAGAAAAGATAAAACTTAAAATTTCACTATAAATAATTTTTATGGATTTTGAAAATTTTAGGATATTTAATATTAATAGTTTTTTGAATTGATGCAATAATAAATAATGATAGTTATTTATTAAGGACAGAATTAAGAAAATTATATATAAAGTTCAAATTGAGGTCTTGATAATTTTCTTCAAAAACTTGTTACTTAATCAGATTTAGAAGCATAATTAAGCTTTTTATTAATTAATTGTTTTATTAAAAAATTTTTTTCCAAAATGAAACAGATTGCACTTCATTTTGAGTTGTAATATGAATTTCAAAATTATGATATAATATTATATCACCTTAAAAAATCACTTAAAATATAAAATTTTAGAATTAAAATATTATTAAGAATCTAAAATGACAAATTTACTTGAACTTAAATGATATATTGATGAGATTAGGCGAAGTGAATGTACATTTATGATTTTAAGATTTAAATTCTTCATTAATTTTACTTTAAATAATATTTTCGCCAGTACTCCAAAATATAATTTATAGCAAATTAATCATACTTATATATCTTAAATTCGACAAATTGGATTTCACTAATAACTATAACTCCTTGGGACCTTATTTATCTCGATGGCTGTTAAACCTGCTATAAATATAGAAATCTGAAATATGAATTCATTTAAGAATGCTCAATCAAACAATTTACTTTTTGTTGTGCTATTTTTAACAATAAAAATTCATCAATAGTGATTTTTGGTAGCTTTTTTAATCTTATTTAAAGATAAACACTCGAATATGAATTTAATATTTGGTGCAAATTTAATCATGGTAGATAAATTAACAAAGAAATTTTTAATTTATTTCGATTTCTCAAATAATAAAAAATTATTTGTTTTCAAAACTGTTAAACTAGTACAATTAATCTTCTATTCAGAATATTCTAAAAAAATAATCAAATTATTGATGGTAAAAACCATATAATTTTATTAAAACAAAAATGTAAAATGAAATTAGCACGAATTAGTATGCATTTTTAATTTGCTTTTTCATGATAATAAATTTAATTTCTAAACTAGAATAATAATATATTAGATTTTACCAAACAGACTACGATGTGTTATATAAATTCCATTAAATTTGATTAATAATGCAAATACTTTTGATTACTAAGCTAATTTTAAAATAGTTTATTGAATTTAAAATCATCAAAATAGTTATAATATTTTTATATTTACTATATTGAGATTCATAATTGTTTAAAAATAAACCATAAATCCTAAATAACACAAATTCTATTGTTAATCTACATACACAAACTATTTTTAATAGTNTCGTGCTTTAATCTTTTTTTTATTCAGATATCCTCTATAAATTGTAATTCAATGGTTTCAATTTAGATGCAAAAGAAAATTTGCTTCCTTGATATCATTTAATCCAATTATTGATTGATTCAGACCATATTGAATAAGAACATCCTCATAGTTGTATTCCTAAAGTTTTTTAGCTTCTACCTAGTATTCATCACTTATTTCACTTCTATTTATCACAGAGACGTTACAATAATTGTAACTGATTGAATGCCTGATAATTTATTGAAGTTTTAAGGATAGTAGTATCAATTAATTTAATTCGCAAAATTAATAGATGTCGTCAAGTTATTTAAACCTGACGGTCAAGGTCATCACACCTAGCTCTGAATTGTTTATTAATTAAATTATGTATCCAAGATTGAAAGTTGACAAAAAATTTTTCAAACAATTTGCTCTTTGCTGTGCTATTATAACAATCAAAAACCATCAATAGTGAATTTTGATAGTTTTTTTAATCTTATCTCAAGGATAAACAGTCAAATGCTATTGGAATAATTTGAGAAAATATGAAATAATAATGAATTAAAAAAGAAATTTTTTATTTATTTCGATTTCTCACATAATAAAAATTAGTTGTTTATTAAAACTGCTTAATTAGCATAATTAATCCTCTATTTAAATATAAGCTAAATAAATATTTAAATTATTGGTGATCATTTCATTAAAAGATATACTTACAATTAGATTTTTATAATTTAGTGTTCACTTTTAATTTGCTTTTTCTTGAAAAAAATTAAATTTCTAAACTAGAATAATAATGAATTAGATTTTTTATCAAATATACTATGTCATGTAATATTAATTCCAATAAATTAAATTAATAATGCAAACATTTTTTGATTGATTTTTACTTATAAAATTAATAAAATAAATATTACTATAAATAAAAAGGTCAAATGAAAATTAAATAAGATCTCATAATTGTTAAAAATCATGAATCCTAATTAACACAAATTCTATTTTTAATCTACCTAAATGAATCTAAAATTTAAATAATTAAATTTTAGACAAAAAGTTCATAAAATGAGAAAACAAAAAATATTAACACACAAGCTATTCTAAATAGTAATTTATAACTATAATTAATTTTATATGCTATGTTATTTTTATACTTTTCAATTATCATATTGTATTTCTCTTAGTTTTTTATTATCATTTATACTCATCTCTATCCAGGTACCTACTTTCACACCATTCTTATTGTATTCACCGTTATATGTGACCTCATAGGATTTTGTAATTTCAGTCCACTTTCCAAACTTAGTTCCTTCTTAATCAAATGATCCCCCTCCACTATATTGCTAATTCTGAGATTTATTTACATTTAGATATATTCTCTTTCCAATTTATGATACATAATATCCCATCTTCCTACCTTTGTTCCATTCATGTTATATTCACCATTATAAATAGATTTATTAGAATTAAAATATTCATCCAACTCTATCCATTTTCCAATCTTTTTCTCATTTCCTTCTTAATCATATGATCCACCCCTACTATCTTATATTTATTGAATATTTACATTTATTTATTCCTAAATAAAATATCCCATCTACATACCTTCATACCATTGATATTATATTCGCCGGTGTGGGTGATTTCATTTCCTGTTTAAAACTTTTCGTCTAAGTCTACCCAATTTCCAATTTTTTTCTAACTCCCTTTTTAATCATAAAATCCACCACCACTAAAATACATGCACACACAGATTATTATATTTTTCTAATATATCTAGAATATTTACATTTGTTCATATTTATCTCCAAAAAGTCTCTAAAACCATATATCCCATCTACCCACCTTCCTACCTTTGATATTATATTCACCATTATAAGTGATTTATTTAATTAATAGAAAAAAATTATCCTATTCTATCCACTTTCCAATTTTTATCTAATTCCCTTCTTAATCATATGATCCACCACCACTATATTTTTATACTTATGTAATATTTACATTTATTGATATGGTTAATCAATAGATTTCGTAAACATAATATCCCATCTCCCCACCTTAATACCATTGATATTATATTCGCCAGTATAAGTGATTTATTTAATTGCTTTAAACTATTTATCTTATAATATCCACTTTCCAATTTTTTTCTAATTTCCCTCCAAATCATATAAACCACCACCACTTTATATTCCTTATGTTATAGTTACATTTATTTATTCCTATAAAGAATATCCCATCTACCAATTTTCCTTCCATTCATATCATATTCACCTATATAGGTTACTTCCTTTGAATCTACAAAATCTAAGGAATAACCTTCATCCAATTCTATCCACTTTCCAATTTTTTTCTAATTTCCTTCCAAATCATATAAACCTCCTCCACTAAAACACATTCACATATATTTGATTATTTCTTATACTTCTAATATATTTACATTTATTGATCTTAAGGTACCCCGTATTTATAAAACATAATATCCCATCTGCCCACCTTCTTTCCATTGTTATTATATTCACCAATATAAGCGACTTATTTGTCAAATGTAAACTCTTCATCTAATTCTATCCATTTTCCAATCTTTATTTAGTTTCCTTTTTAACCATATGTTCCACCACCACTAATAATACACACATAAATTAATAATTGCATTTCTAATACATATATAATACTTACATTTATTTATATTCCCTCTCAATACCATATTTATCAACATATTTATACATAATATCCCATCTACCTATTTTCATACCATAACAATTGTATTCACCATTATAAGTGACTTATTTATAATTAAAAAACCTTTCATCCAACACAATCCATTTACCTTACTTTTAACCATCAACATTGTATAATCCACCACTTCTAAGAATTTAATAAACTAATTACATTTTCATATCTTTAAAAATATAATTCCATATACCAATTCGAAGACTCTTAAAATATAATCCAGTTTCAACAACTTTTGCTTAGCTATTCAAAACTTTAAATAATTACTTACTCACAATAATTTAAAAATAAATCTTTCCATTACCCTTCCTTTTATCCATTATTGAAGTATCCACCAACATTCTTTAATATATTTTTATCCCAAAAAGCCACCCATTTACCCTCTTTCTTTTCGTTTTTACCATATTATCCTTACCATGAAAGATTTTGGATTTAATCCATATTATTAAATAATTGTGGATTCTCAAGAATATCATGTACTTTTACTCTTTATTTTAACTTATAATTAAAATTTACACTCTCAAGATTATTTCATTTTTTGAATAGATGATTTAATTATCTTAAGTATATTTGATTCCAATGTTTATTTTATGAAATTTACACTTGGTTTAGTCCCATTATTCAACTTCTTATTCTATAGCCTATCCTTCCCAATTAGTGGCTTTTAAGGTACAATTAGGATTTTGGTTTGATAAATTCATTTTGCAAAAATAATTTTATTTGTATTATTTTTGTTAATAATTATTTTGGAAATCAAAAATTAATTGTAATAAATTAAAAAATAAAAACTCTTAACACCAAACAAAATAAGTTCATTTTTCTAATAGAGATATTAATAATATGATTAATAAAATTGAAATTAGGAGACGAAATAAGAATCTAATAAAATTAAATATTATGGTAATTTAAGATATAAGTAGTTAAAAGTAATAGAAATTAAAAAAGAATATGCTGCTATATTCGATGAATCAATCTTAACCTGATAGGGAGAGATCTCTATAGCCTTATCTTTCGAGAAAATTTGATTTTATAATTTTTTTATTTTTAATAAGCAATTTTTGTAAAGATAAAATAAATTATTTTATTTCAAAAAATTCAAAATAGGTTATCTACTTCTTAAAAAGATGATTCTGGATAGACTTATATATTATTTTGGATTTATTGATATTCTTATTCACCACATCTTAGAAATGAATCAAAATCTATACATGACTAAAATACTAAGAGATTTTTGAGATGAAATGAAATAAATTTCTATTTTTAAATTCTACAAGTTAAATGGTAATCTTAATAAAATAATTAGATTTTATTTTTATATAAAAAAAAATTGAGTTTCAGGATTTTTTTTTTTAAAAAGTATAGCGAAGAACAAATAACAACTTTATTGACAAGATAGCTACACATTCTCTTGGATTTGTATGCACTCTTTCTTAATATTATTGATATTAATTTTTTCACCACAAATTATTAAGAAGTCTTAAAATTCATTTTTATATTCAGACATCAGTGAATTTTATAGCTTCTCCATACTTATTAATATCTCAAAATTATTTGCACTATATTATTTAAGTATTTATGTGATAAGATCAACTCAAGAACATACAGGTAATTTTTGTAAGTTAGTAGTCACCCTATCAAAGGATCTAATGAACTATAGTATTGTAATTTAAATGAAGAAAGAACTATGGAAATATAATGATTTTTATTTCATATTTATAAATCTAAATTACAATCGAAATCATTACGACAGACCTTCCTTTTGGATTCTTGAAATAAATCAAAAATATATTTGATACTCTGAATTAATTGAGTAAGTTTGCAGTTTTAATTATCATATTATCTCTCTATTAAGATCTTCAACTCCTATTACTAAAAATTAAGTGTAATCAATACTCACCAAATGGAACCATTCTAAATCTACAACAAACATTAGAAGAAGAAATGTCTAATCTCTTTCAAATTTAATTTATCTACTGCTTCAAAAAAAATTAGATCTATTCATATACAAAATTATCCAATCTAACTTTTGAAGAATCCTGAATAACAAGTTGAAAAAAGTGGAAAAATCAAATGGTTATTATAGATTAAAATAGTGTCAGTATCCTATTAAAATAGAATATTAAGAGACTGTTTTAGATGAGGAAATCTTTGCAATTTTTTTTTATTCCTATTAATAAGTCGAGCTTGCTTTTATAGAGTTCATTATATTAAAATACTGAGAACTCACTCGTCATCTTATGATTTAAAAAAAAAGAATTTGTAAGGATATCCACGAAATAATTACTTTAGTCAAAAAATATAATATTGTATGGAGATGCTAAAATAATTCGCAATCAAATGAAATCTGTCTATATCTTTATATGTAAATTCTTTCCAAATAAAAAATTAATTGATCATTTTTTTTAATATATTGAAAAGATATATTATCAACTTACTTTACATTAAATTTGAATAATCTTTTATTTTCACCTTATTGATTCAAACTACGATTAATCACTATTCTAATGCTTATTATATTAAAAATTATGTTTTTTATTTTTCATTATGATCTGGTTTTATTTGAAGTCAGGTCATACTCATTTTCTCAATTTAGAATAAGAAAAAAACAATTAAAACTAAAAATAACTAACCTATCTAAAATTCTTAAATTTAGACTTTAGAAACTGAATTCAACAAAAGGCAATTTAATTAATTTTGGAGAAGTGGGTGGTTGGAGTATTATATTTAATTTTCTTTAAGAGAAAAATTGTGAACTTCTGAAATTGAATAATTTTTTCCCTAATCGATGTTTTTTTATTTCAGTAACAGTTGAGTGCCTATCATTATTAAGAATTACGAACTATAGTTTTAAAGTGATCTATTAAAAAGCTTAAGATAATAGCTTGATTTAAATTCATACGTTATTATTAATTTTTCTTTAACCTTCAATTTTGCCATTGCTAATGTTTAAATTTTTATTTTGATGATTTTTAATGTTGTAGAGTAAACCTCAGTTATTATTGATAAGTTTTTTGAGATCTTAATTAAAACTTTAGAATTCATAAACAAATATTGATCTTTTATTCAAAAAATAGAATCCTTAATTTTAAGAGATGAAACTTAAACAAGTAAAACACATATATTTATAAAATTGGTAAACCTAGAATATTACAACATCAGCGCATTTAATATGTCTTCTTAAAAAAAAATTAAAGAAACCTCGACATGTCTTAGTTGATTAACCGAATCTCAATCGGATTTTGAAAATGATCTATATTATGTTTATTAGAAATTTATCAGTTCTATGATTTTTTTTATTCTACGCTATATCTTATCTGAACAAGATTAATTAAACTTTTCGAGAGACCTAAAAAAATATAACAGTTTTTATACTGTTTAATAAAATCTTAAATGTTTAAAAATATTAAGAAAATTAATGCAAAATTACATATAGTTTTAAAAATAACATTAACAAAGACTAGATAATTTTTAGTGATTCAGGAACAAAAACAAAAGAAAGTGTAAAAATATCGAAACCCACTTTAATCTAAGACAAGTCTATTCTTAATTAATTCCAGAGTATGCTGAAAAATGACATAAGATTAAAAGATGCTAAATTTTAGGATAGGATAACTAGATAATGGTTCCTCCACCTATACGGCTCTTATTTCTGTGTAATAAATAAATCTAATGTTTCTTTAAATGAAATATTGCAATTAGATAAAGCTCAAATAGCTTGACTTTCTTGAAAGATAAATTAGAAAAAAATCCAATTTAAGTGTGTAAAAGCACAATTTTTTTGAAAAAACACTAAATTCATTTTAAATAAATACCTCATTTATTATAATTAATGCTTTATAATAAAATACTTTTTAGGAAATTATGTAATAATTTGAAGTTTTCCCACCAAATTACAATTTCATATACTAGCAAAATTTGAAAGAAAAAAAATTCTAACCAAATATACGCAATTAAAACTTAATCAAACAAAAACACA